CATATTTCTTATCCTTTGAAGCCTTATATACAACCCAAACCTTTCTCTTTGATTCATAGTGACCTATGGGGGGCAAGTCTTGTTAAAAGCACCACAGATGCTAGATGGTTAATAACATTTATTGATGACCTTATAACATTTATTGATGACCTTATAACATTTATTGATGACCATACTAGAGTATGTTGGGTTTACCTCCTAAAAGAAAAAATAGAAACACTAAAAGTATTCCATAATTTCTACTCCATGATTCGAACCCAATTTGACTCAACATACACACGCTCCACACTGATAATGGAAGGGAGTATTTCAATTCTATTTTAAGCCCCTATCTCTCTAAACAAGGCATCATTCATCAAAGTTATTGTCCTGACACACCTCAACAAAACGGGATCTCAAAAAAAAAATAGATACCTACTTGCTATTGCTCAAGCCTTGATGTTTACCATGAAAATTCCAAAATACCTATGGGGATGTTGTCCTTACTACACGTTATTTAATAAACTGTATGCCCTCTAGAGTTCTTAATCTCCAAACTCCTTTACATGTCCTAAAAAAAATTCCCCCTATTTCTTGTTCCTATTCTACCAGCCAAGATATTTGGTTGTAAAGCCTATGTACATAATCACCAACCTAATCAATCCAAACTTCATCCCTGAGCACACCTATGCGTCTTTATTAGCTACTCATCTTCAAGGGGAGATTGTTAGTGAAGATGAGACTCTTCATACTCTTCTTATTATGCCCCCTGAGCCTATCCTTAACACCCCTGTCACACAAAATTCTAAGGATGACCCTGTCCTCATAATACCATATTTGAGTGTTCCACTGGAGAGAGATGAACTTCCCAGTGATGAAATCCCCATTGGAAGTAAGCTTCAGCAACCTAATCCCTCTGAGACACCCCAGCTACAGCCTCCAAAAATAATTTTGTATTCTCGGAAACATTTTCCTCGTAAAAACAACATAGCAATAGTTGAAAATTCATCCAACTCCGAGGACTGTCCTGTTCCAGATCAGTTTCCTGGTTCATCGAATATGGACCTTCCCATTATTGTTCGTAAAGGCACAAGAACTTGTACTCAGTATCCAATCTTTCGATTTGTATCCTATGGAAATTTATCTAAAGCTTACAAAAATTTTGTAACTAATATTGACAATGTAGAGACTCCAAGAAATGTGAAAGAGGCTTTGCAATCAACTGAATGGAGACATGTTATTTTTAAAGAAATGAATTCCCTCAAAAATAATGGGACATGGGAAGTTACAGATCTTCCAGAAGGGAAGAAAATCATGGGTTGTAAATGGATTTTCACCACAAAAATCAAGCCTGATGGGAGTATTGATCGACACAAGGCTCGGCTTGTGGCATGAGGTTTTACTCAAACCTATGGACTCAACTATGATGAGACATTTTCCCTCGTTGCAAAGCTCAATACTGTTCGAGAACTCATTTCCTTAGCTGTTAACCTTGATTGGCCCTTAACACAACTTGATGTAAAAAATGCATTCCTCAATGAAGACTTGAGCGAGGAGGTATATATGGAATTTCCACCAGGTTTTTAAGAAGAAAAAGGGAGAGTATACAGATTAAAGAAGTCCCTATACAGACTGAAACAATCCCCAAGAGCTTGGTGCAGCCGATTTGCCAAGGCTATGACCAACAGGAATTACACATAAGGGCAAACAGATCATACACTATTTTACAAACACTCGGGAAGTGGGAAATACTCTATTTTTATCATCTATGTTGATGATATTATCCTAACAGGGGATGATTCGAGTGAGTTGATAAAACTAAAAGACTTACTCAACACATAATTTGAGCTTAAAGATTTGGGGAATCTCAAATACTTCCTTAGCATGGAAGTAGTACGGACTCGGACAAGCATCTCTATTTCCCAACGAAAGTATGTTCTTGATTTATTGGCTGAAACTAGCATGCTTGGTTGTAAACCTGCCGAGGCCCTAATGGAGTTCAATTCTAAGCTAGGCAATGATGATGATGGGAAGAAGTAGGCAGGGGAGATACTAGCGACTCGTGGGAAAACTTATTTATCTATCTCACACCCGACCTGATATTGCATTCGGGGTGAGTGTCATCAGTCAGTATATGCATGCTCCAAAGAAAAAAACATTTGGAGGCAGTTTATAGGATGCTAAGGTATTTGAAGGGAACATCGGGTAAAGGTCTTCATTTCAAGAAAAATACCAGTCGTGACATAGAACTTTACACTGATGCAAATTGGGCAGGATCAGTGAGTGACAGATGATCTACAAGTGGTTATTTTAGCTATGTGTGGGGCAATCTTATGACATGGAGATGTAAAAAATAGTCTGTTGTGTCTCGTAGTAGTGTAGAGGAAGAATATCGAGCTTTGTCTCATGGTATATGTGAGGGAATTTGGTTACAAAGATCAATGAAGGAACTTAAAGTACGCTATGTTAAACCTATGAAGGTATATTTTGATAATCAAGCTGCTGTCAGTATAACACATAGCCTAGTTCATCACGATCAGACAAAACACGTGGAGATAGATCGTCATTTCATCAAAGAGAAGGCAAATTCATGAGAAGTTCGTATCATTTATCTTCCTACTATGAAACAAGTTGCATACTTGCTAACTAAAAGTCTGAGTAAGAACGTGTTTGAAGATTTTATTAACAAGCTGGGATTGATAAATATCTACACAGCAGCTGGAGGGGGAGTGTTGGAAATCCTAGAAGTAAGGAACTAAATCTTTTTCTTTATTTTTAAGAGTTAACCTAGTGCAAATATGTCTCTAATTGTAGTTCCTAATTTTTAGGGATACTTTCCTATTTTTTGTACTAATCATTCCTTTAAAGTTGTAATCTGCTGTTAGGGAAATATCATAATCATTATTTTCTCAAATCAGTTCAAAAGCATTGTTTCACTCATGAAAAAACTTTCTAAATCACTCATAACACGCTATGAAGACCTCAGACGATGTTTAAAGCTTTTGTATGATTATGGGATCATGAAAGGTCATTTATTTATGCATGAGTAACATCAAACCCCTCATTTTTATACTATCAACCCAAATGCACCCCAATGGCTTCATATACATATACAAGCAACAACATTACACATACTAGGCTACAAGTGGTATAAAGGGGTTAGGAGTATGTTACCTTTCTACAAGAAGCTGGAGAATCACCTCAAGCTCACCCAAGTACAACTTTCTCTTTTCCCTTGCTTTTAGAGCCTTCACCCACTTCTCTCACTAGAAAAATCAATGGAATGGGTTATTAACTCACCTAAGAACTTAAGAAAGGTAAGAACAAAATTTCTAAGGTTATGGAATGATTTAGAGCCACATACAATCTCTAAAACACAAAACCCTCCTTAAACCCAACTATGAACAAACTCTAAGGTTGGGGGTTTAAATTGAAGCTTAGAGGATGGAGATTTCCAAACTTACCTTTAGAATTTCGAGCTAAGGAGAGACACCAGCAAAGTCTTCACCTTTGTTCAAATTACCAAGAAGAAAGAAGGAAAGTTTGAATAAGGAATGAGACAAAAGGTGAGGAAAAAAATATAAAGAAGTCACCTTTTTTCCCCTTTTCCCTCTGTCGTGACCTCACTCCACCATTAAAGAAATCATCCTTTTAATATTTCTCCTCATATGCCTAATTAAAAAATACCCTTTTTATTCTAACTGGGCTCAATTCAAGCCCAATCCATCTCATACTTGGACCAAGGCTCCCCAAAATCCTATCAGGTTTACCCAAAACCCTTTCAAGTTAGCTCGAAACTACTAACCCGAAATTTAAGGAGTTACATTTATCGTACCGATATAACCACTTAATTATGATTTCTCACACATAATAAAAATGTAGAGTACTCTTTTCTAGGTATACCTTTCTTAGCTAAATATCTCCTAATGAATAATTTATCAATTAATTCATATTTATCGTAAGTAATTATTGTTTAATGCATAACTTATAATATATACATTTCAAATCATAAATTTGAAACCCAATAGATTGATTACCATGGTCAACCTCAATTAAATAATAAGAAATACTCACTCGTACATGGATAATAGAGAATATCTACTCATCTCACATCACATAGACTCACATAATTTTCTAGATCACTGTATAGAGAGTAGCACAATGCACATGCTTAAACATTCATGCTTCCAATGACGTATAAATTCAATGCATAATCAATCTCAATACACGTTAACTCAAGAAATAAACAATTACTCTAGGGTTTTAGAATATGACTTAACCTACGATTCAATCCTCGTCCAACATTGAAGATGTATATCACAAGTGAATGGACAGTCATTCACCTTGGTAAACCAAAGCACAATTCACTGTGATTCGATCGTCAATTTATTGTCAGACAATTCTCCAAATTAAATCATACTTCCACCTTAAAGAATATATTTAGAAGTGAAACACGCCTTTTTAATGTATATTTTTCATATTTTGACCTTTCTTTTTTTGTTCTTTCATTTCAGCCCAAGTCAAGTGCTTTCTGTTAAGGTCAATAAAAGATGTTTCCTATAAAATGCGTCTTATACCATATTATCAGAAGACGCTTCCTACAAAATACGCTAAACATTGTCTGAAAAAATAGTGTAAGATTCAAGAAATAATCGTATATGACTATTAAAATAGAAATATTTTTATTGAATGATATTTGAGTGAAAATACATTGAAATTAAGTATATCTATTTTATAAAATATATTAATATAATACTATAAATCACGATAATAGTTTTATAATAACAATTACAATGTATTAAATTTATAAAAAATTTATAATTTATATTTAAAACTAAAAGACCTGTAAAATAATAAAAACTATTATTTATAACTACTCAATTGTTGTTAACGAAAATGTTTGAAATGGAAATAATTTTAATTTTGGTGACCAAAGGACACATGTACAAAACGTAAAGTGACTAGTGATGTAGTTTAGCGAATAAAATATCTTATCCGCTTGAAAAGTTGAAATCTTTCTCAAAATTTTTAAACGAAGGAGAGTTGAAATTCTTGCTGCTGAGTACTGAAAAACTCAGAAACAATGGCGGCCATTGAAGCTGTAACTGCACTCTCCTTTCTACGTCACCCTTCTTCTTCCCCAAAGACCTTCTTAAGTCCAAAACCCCAAAGCTTATCTTCCTTAACTTTTCAAATATCCATATCTACCCCCCTCTTTTCCCAAAATTTCCCCATCCATCCATTAATCAACACCCAGAAGAATCTGGGTTTTAAACTCTGCTCCACTTTGCAAGAACTAAGCGTAGAAGCTGAAACAGAGAAAACCCAGAAACCAAATGTGAAAAGAAAGCTTTTTGTGTTGAATTTGCCACGGGCTTATACGGTTGCTGATATCAAAGACCTCTTTTCCCAATGTGGGAACGTTAAAGATGTTGAGGTTCCTTTTTATTGCTATTTTATGCCTTTTTTATTTTTCTTTTAAAAAGAGATGATTTGTGACATGGGTGATTTTGGTATTTGGATTGTTTTCAGATTATTAAGGAGAAAGATGGGAAAAGTAGGGGGTTTTCGTTTGTGACGATGGCTTCTGGTGAAGAAGCTCAGGCTGCTGTAGACAAACTCGACTCTCATGTAAAATTTTCTTATCATTTTTAAATTCAAATTTTATTTATGTATACAATGCTATTCAACTTGATTTCCATTTTGATTGTTCATTAGAAGAAATTAATTAAAGAAAGAGGACAAGACATAATCATAAAAAATAAAATCAGAGAATTGCTTTCCATTGTATGTATGTACCTTATTTGGATATTGGAGTGTCGTTTCTGGTGCAGGAAGTGTCCGGGAGAATTATAAGGGTAGAGTTTGCTAGGAGATTCAAGAGACCTTCACCAGCTACTTCTCAGCCGATTGTTCCTTCCTGTGAGTCGCGCCATAAGCTTTACGTGTCGAACCTTAATTGGAAAGTCAGGGCGAATCATCTGAGAGAGTTTTTCTCGGCCTTCAACCCGGTTTCAGCTAGAGTTATTTTTGGTACCCCGTCAGGACAGTCTGCAGGGTATGGCTTTGTTTCATTTGCCACAAAGGAGGAAGCTGAGGCTGCAATTTCTACTCTTGATGGAAAGGTAATCTAACGCATTCTGTTTATTTGCACTGTTTTCATGTTTGTTGTTAAGAGAGCACTATCCATAGATCATAACTGTCGGTTAATATGGTTACTAGACAGACTACATCAGTGACGATACATTTGAAGGTGATTGTCAACTACAACTCATTTGTAGTACGAGATTGTCTAGGACATAAGTTTGATGTTCCTCTCAGTATATGCAACAAGTTTCATTTATGTTTGCAGAAACTTGTCTGTAGGCAGCAATATGTTCTAAAATGTTCCTTCACTTTGTCAAGTATTTTCATTAGTTGATGAATGCTTAGTTAATCAATCTGGCTGATAACACATTGTCATACATTTTGCAGGAGTTGATGGATCGGCCACTGCGTTTAAAATTCAGTGAAAAAACAGCCAATGAATTCGGGGATGAAGACACTGAACAGAAGGAAATCGAAGTCTTAGATATTCACTTGGACCTCATGTCTCCATCCTTTTGAGAGCAGTGTACAAATGAGAAAGAAAGTTTTATCACCTCCCTCCGGATAAGTAATTTGTAAATGTTTGGTTGTGTATATTATTTCTTTTGTTCGTATCCTAATAGATCTTATGTTAATTTAAGCTACTTTTTTCTCTTCTGTTAATTGGAATCTTATGTTTTCTTATATGTTTCTGGTATATCTTCATAAATCCCACTAACAGTTATGGACTACATTATAAGTCTTGACGATCTTCCATGGTTCCACCCATTCAGGAAATGGAAGATATGCCATATATTTGCTTCATCCATGAGTTAGCAAATAAACTTAAGTCAAGGGTAAATTATTGGTGATCTTTTATCTTTTCAGTCCCTTCTATTTTGGTCATCTGTTTAAAAAAGTTTGATTTTAGTCTCCTATACTATCGATTTAATACATTTTGGTTCCTCAATCGTTAACTCTCATTGCTCCAATAATGAAAGTTTGACTTGATATTTAAAAAGTAAAAACAAAAGCTACATATGTATTTAGTCCCCATCATTCTAAAACCCATTACTCCGTCCTCTTTGTCCTTGTCTAACAAAACTTCATCCCAAATTTAAGGTTTAATATTAAAAAAGTGTTCAAATCATATTATTTTTAACTTAGGTACTTAAACTTTTTTCGATCAATGTAGGTGCATACCATTTTTTTCTGTTATCCTTTTAAGCATATGGTCAGTCAGTTGTTAACAAAATCCTTTAAATATTAGTCAATCACTAAATGAAACAAGTAATATGCTTATAAGATTAAAAAAACTTTAAAATTTTGAAAAATAAAATAAAATAACTCTAAAACCTAAAAACAAAAATTTCTTAAAATCCTAAATCCGAAAGCATCAATCCACCACTCCTTGGCCGCATACCCACTCATTGTTAGTTGTCACGGTCTCAATCCCCGAAATCCCTAAATCCCAAGGCATACATCCATCTCAATTAGTGGGTAAGTGGTCGACAAATCCCAAGGCACATATCCATTTCAATTAGTGGGTAAATAGTTGACATGTGAGTGGATGATCACTAACGGTGATGGTGGTCAATGACAAAATCGAAGAGATATTTTAGAGCTTTATGATTTTAGAGTATTTTCTAAAAAATAAAAAAGGTCGGGATTTTTAATGAAAATTTATAATTTTAATTTTTTTTAAAACTAAAGGGGGAAAAGACTATATGTCAACCATTGAATAGTTGAATAATATTTAACAGATTTTTTAATGAGTGTGAGGGCCAAACACTTGAAATAATAAGGCCAAAAATGTTAAGCATCTACATTTACGCATGTTAACACAATCTATAAGATTAGTATGAATAATTTCAAATATTCCATTTTAACACAATCCATGCCAAGAGATAACATAGTGCACATCCACTACTGAATAAAGGAAGGAAAATAAGACTCCATATAAACCCTTTTAAACCATTTTCTCACTCTAAATGCGAGATTCTTCGCAATACGAAATGTAACTGTTTCTGTATACAATTTCTAAATATAGTATATATCATTCAAACCTAGCAAGTATCGATGGTACAAGCTGTATTAGAAATCAGAATGTTGCCCTGTTCCTGTAGATATATTAGGGCTACTATAGTTCAAAACACAAATGCTTTTCAAAATTAAAAGCACAATGTTTCATATAGTGTGAGATGGAGCTTCCAGAATTTATACTTAATGCCAGAAAAATCTAGGAGCGCCATGACAACACACCAAGTCAAAGAATAGGAAGCCAGGATCAAAACACCCGATGATGATGACACAAATATGGTATCCACAGATAAGTTTACCAGCCCCGTCAGCAGATTTGCCTGCACAAATCGATAAATAAAGCAACACAACCTGTTCAGTTATTTCTAATATGAGATGATGATCGAGAACAACATAAAATTCCTCAAGTCACATACATGAATGGATGAAATAATGAAGAAAGAGGGATGGTCAATTTACCACAAGAAAAGAAGCCAATAAATTACGGTCAAATGCTCTTTCAAGAGCTAAAACTTTAATCCCAACGACGTTATCGGCAAGAAGTCGTATTGTTAATAGCTGAAACAATGGGTAAACCTCTCGTTAGCCTTGCACCACATGTAATAGTAGGTAATAAAACTATACATATCCATCACTGTTCGAAAGGACCGGGACATAGTTCTTTTATTTGAATTTGCAAAGCTTTAGAATAGAATCGTGAAAACACCAACATGCATTTCAGTTATCGGTTTTTAAGTGATTGCATCGATGCTCACCCATTACACCAAAAACTTATGCCTATCAATGGCATGGTTGATGCTTGATTTTTTTATTCCTAAGTCGAAACAAACAAAGATCCCTCAGTCTCACCATATTGACACCATTTCTGCAGAAGACACTGATTTACAAATGTCAAACTGAGTTTCACATCTCCAAAATATATCTTAAACAAAAAGGAAACATACTCAAAGAATGCCCTCCTTCATCTTTCACTCAACGTATTAGTCGACATGCATATATAATCATAGAACCAACATCATCCAAGTCTCTTTTTGAACATTAAATTTTTTTTACAGTGGTACATTTTGAGATTCCATGTTGTCTGAAAATAGATATTAAAACCAAGTGTCGAATGGTTCAATATGATCCCAACCAGTCAAATAAAGAGGATATATCGATAATAAGAAAATGAGAAACATGGTAATTCTGCCAATGATCTAGTCCTGATGTTATATGTTTGAGGAAAAGGAATGTTTTACATTGATAAATTCTAAATTTAATGAACTTAAATAACAAAAGGGTGATGAACATTAACAATTCTTGACGTATTTGGAGGAAATCAGAATAACCTGTAGATTTTGAGCCACCACCCAAGTAACATAAGCAAGGTTGCACTGCAGAAATTGCATATTACGGTTAATCATGATTGTTAATTCCAAGATGGTTTTACAAATTAGTAAATATATGATGAGTATGTCCTACCATTCTACGAGAAATTCTTTCAACATGCCTGTCTATAAGCAATGTTAAAATCCTGTAACAAACAGATGCAAACAAAAATCAGCTCAGTTTCCATGCAATCAATTTATTGAATCGACACAATCAGTTTTGGTAACAAAAATCACGTGAGAGTTATAAATACCAAAACACAATAGTAAGAAGACAGACTCTGAATTGCGTTTCATGCTTGCTTCTCTACTTGGTTGGACGATTTTCGATGAAGAGGTAGTAGCTCACCTGAACACCAATAAGATACATACCCCAGTATCCTGGGTATGATAACAAGTAATCACTTGACAAAATCTTATATCAGATGACAAGATGAGTAGAATTGCTAATGAAAAGGGAATGCAGCCTGCGGCCCCATTTTATTTTATATTTTAATGAAAAGAACACTAGCCTATTATTGGAAAGTGGAAACAAATCAGGAAGACACAGATCAATGAAAGAACTCGTACTTAAAATTAATCTAGAAATTATTCTCTTTTCATTCTTTTTTTTAAAAAATGATTTTCAATTTCCTTTAAATCAACACAAGCTGTTTCTTAACTTCGATCAAAGGTTAACATCAAAATGTGAAGAATACAGTTTGATTCTTGCTCAGGAATTGGGATCACAAGAACCTTACAAACGACTACCCAAGATAAAGCTGTAGGTGAAAACAAAAATTATGATGACGCATATAGCAATAGTACATTAGGTAGAGTCCAGAATTTTCCTTACCAAATAAGCTAAAAATCCCCTCCTTGTTTCTGCTTATGATATCACTCCTTTCATTAGAAAGAAGATAAACATTTAGCCCATTAGTCAACCAACTTTGGTACCCTGAGAGTTAGAAAATCAACTTATTGTACAAGAAGAATCAAATGGAAAATGCCAGCATATCGAAACAAACTTCATAAATAGGAAGGTACTAAAATTGCTGAACCGAGAATTCCGGAATATTTCGCAGGAACATTTAAAATGGTTGTGAGAATAGATACAACAGCAAGTGTGAAAAAGAAATTCCAGTTCACACCGTATTCCCCTACATGTACCTGTACGGAAGAAATGGAATTAAACAAAAAAAAGTATTGATTATCAATCACCACCAGGTGAAAAGTTGAACAATCAACATTGAGAAGAGCATCATGCACTCAAACCAGTTTGTATAAATAATGAGTATTATGCAAAATGCTTTCAGTAAAGACAGGGATTTCTGGTTAAGAATACAAACTGGTTTGGAGCATTATTTTAGACATCTCCCAGAATTTCATCAGTTTTATGTTAGTGAGCAGACATGGTAAACAACTTATCTGATGCCATTGCAAAAAACTATTGTCGTAACCGGTTTTCGTCCGGGTACGAAATATTAAATTTGGCGGGGAAATTGATATGAATAAATAATTTTGAAAATAATTTGAGAGTCGCTATCGGCCTTTTGGATCAGGTAGGTCGAATACCTAAAAATTATTTTTTTTAAAGAGTTTTAAGAAAACATCAATAAAAAAAATGAACTGATCTGCGTTTTATAACCAAAAATTCGTTCTTTTTAGTAAAAAGGGATTCGTGGTCGGTTACGTTTAGGGAAGGATTAGCACCCCTACAACGCCCAAAATTGGTACTTTTTAATTATAAATTGTCTCTATTATTAAAAATATATTTAATTTTTAATCTTATTATTTCAAAATTATATAAAAATATTTATTTATTTAAAAATATCTGAAAAGAACTTCTAGGTACCTTAAGACAGCTCTTTTCTTTGATATTGATAAATATTAATTTAAATAATATTGTTTAATTTTTAATTTTAAAATATCAAAATAGGACATCCAGTTGTATTAAGACTGTCATTTTCTTTGATATTAAAAATAAATATTTAAAAATTACTATTTATTATATGTATATTTATGAATATATAAAAATATTTAACAATATAATAAAATAAAAATATCACTAAAACAATATATTTTAAGCAGTAAAATGAAAACATATAAAATAAATAAATAAATTATAATAAAAATAAAACTAAATCTAATTCCTAATTAATTGAAATTATAGGTATTAAATATTTTATTTTCTAATTTAATAATTTAGTGACCAAAATAAAATTATCTAAAATTCGAATTTTATAATAAAATAAATTAAAAATATGAACTAGGGATTAAAAAAAATTATTTATTAAAATTAAGGGACTAAATCTGTCATTTATCCTAAATATATTATTTTAATAAAAAAGACTAAAATGAATAAAATTAAAATTCAAAGACTGAATTAAAATTATTATAAATTCAGTTTAGTGACCAAAATATAAAATTTACAAGTTGGGAGGACTACGGACGGGATTTAACTATTTTATAATTACGCGCATAGTCCTTCCCGAAACGACGTCGTTCGGGAAGGACTATATATGGTCCCAAACCGGCTGGCCCGAAGGGCCAGTTTTCATTTCTCATTTCCCTCTCTCTCTCTAAACCGAGAGAGTTTTAAAACTCTCTCGCCTCTCTCTAGCTTCCCTCACCGGAGGGAAGCCGGTCACCGGTCGGCCACCGTGTGCCGCCGTGATTATCACCGCCGGCCACCGCATCCGGTGGCCGGAAAAATTATTTTTTATACTAATAGATAGATCGGACCGTCCTAAGGACGGTTCCGGTATTGTTTCCTCCTAAAAAACTCCCAATCGGAGCGAATCTACAAAAGTACCTTCGGTGTTTCGAAGGTTCCGGTGAGATCCGGTGACGGTTGGGGCTCTCCGATGACAGGGTAAGCTTTTTCCTCTCTTCTCTCTTTTTTTCCTTGCTGCGTTGATGCTGACTGAGATCGTTGGTTTAGTTGTTGTTGTTTTTTTTTTCTCTGTTGTTTTTTTTTTCTCCGGTTCTGTCTCCGTTTTTGTCTCTCTCCTTTTTTTTCTTCGCAGATGGATGGTGGCTTTTATAGCCACCACCGTTGTAGCCGTCGGACCGGTCCGAAGAGGGGGTCTCGGTGAGTCACCGGACTACCAGTGGTGACTCACCCCGTAGCCTTGCATGGACGGCTGGCGTTGATCTTCTGGAGTCTTCATTTGGGACGTGGCAGCGGCGGAGGCGGCGAGAAAACTGTCGGCAGCCGCGTGGAAGCTGGGGCGGCGCCGCGTGGCCCTAGGGTATCAAACCCTAGGGTTTCCCTCTGGAGCCATCTGGACCGTTGGATCGTGCCAGATCCAACGGTTGTGATGAGGCGGCTGGTTTAGATTATGGTTAGGAAACCCTAACTGGAAACCCAAATGTTTAGGGTTTCTGGTTTGATTTGGACCGGTTATGGTTGGTTTGTAACTGGGCTGGTCCAATTGTAATTGGTATGTAATTATTATTTATATATATATGTTTAATATATATTTAATAATAATAATAATAATAATGATAATAATAATAATAATAATAATAATAATAATAATAATAATAATATGGATAAAAAAATTAATATCTTCAGCTGCCCCTCTTTGCTCATTCTTGTGTTAACAAGAATAGGGCAAAGATGAAAAGATAAATTTTTTTTTATCCATTTTGACTTTACTATGATCATAACGGAGATATTGAATAAATTATTCTCTCTCTCCATATAAGTTCTTCTTATTATGAACTTTCTGCTGGGGATGATGATGACCTCCTTTCTGTGATAGAGTCATTCAAAAGGTTGAATAAACTCTTGATGAGTTCTTCTCATTATGAACTTTTTCTAGAAAGGCTGATGCTAATCTATCTCCTTTTGTGATAGAATTATGCGAAAAGTTGAACAAGTTCTTCTTATTATGAACTTCTTCTTTTTTCTTCAGATGAGTTCTTCTCATTATGAACTTCTCCAGAAATGTTGATCCATCAATTGATGAATTCTTGCAAAAGATTGAACAAGTTCTTCTCATTATGAACTTCTTCTTTCTTCTTCAGATGACGAGTTCTTCTCATTATGAACTCTACCTGGCAATGTTGATCCATCAAATGATGAATTCAAGAAAAAGATTGAACAAGTTCTTCTCATTATGAACTTCTTCTTCCTTCTTCAGATGAGTTCTTCTCATTATGAACTTTCTCTGGAAAAAATAATCCATCAAGTGATAGATTTGAGCAAAAGGTTGAACAAATTCTTCTCATTATGAACTTCTTCTTCCTTCTTCAGATGAGTTCTTCTCATTATGAACTCTACCTGGCAATGTTGATCCATCAGATGATGAATTCAAGCAAAAGATTGAACAAGTTCTTCTCATTATGAACTTCTTCTTCCTTCTTCAGATGAGTTCTTCTCATTATGAACTTTCTCTGGAAAAAATAATCCATCAAGTGATAAATTTGAGCAAAAGGTTGAACAAATTCTTCTCATTATGAACTTCTTCTTCCTTCTTCAGATGAGTTCTTCTCATTATGAACTCTCTCTTCAAAAAATAATCCATCAATTGATAGATTTGAATCTTTGCTAAAATCTTTGAAATTCCTGTTAAAAATTCAACATAGATGAAAATGAATGAAAATGCACCTATTTTTGTAAACACCTAAAATATGATGCATGAATGTTAAGTTATTTGATTTCAGACTGGTGAATTGAGTATTTCTTCAATTGTAAAAACCCAATAGATCTTTCTTCTTCAAATCAGAAAATCTATCTTCTTTGACAAATGTAAATGTAGATATTATGTAACAAAACCTCTTGAGAATAAAACTCAATAGTATAGGCTCTTGAAAAACTTGTATTCATACAACATGTTGATTCTGATAACAACTCATCTGATTATGAAGTGACCTTTCAAGATGATTTCACAGATATCGATAGTTCTTCTAATACCGAGAAATTCTTGAATTCTGATTCTGATGAGGAGAATAAACTGTTATACTTGACAAAAATGGGATTCTCAAGTGCTGAAGCTTCAATAGCCATGTAGAAATGTGGTCCAGATTCATCAATTGTAAAATTGATAAATTTTATATGTGTTGTGCAAATGATTAAGGCTGCTGATGCACTTCTTCTGGTAAAAGATAGGAAGTCATTATGCAATGATCCCAATTACAAGAAAAGGCAACACTTGGGCTATGATTTTTGAAAAGGAAGAAGCAGAAGAAACTTGAAAATAAGCTTCTTAATGAAGATGATCATGCAGTTCATCTTTCAATTCCAACTATCGGTTCTGGGGTTTCTACTGAATCAGATCAGATAACTCAAAGAACACTTCCAGAAGATGCTATGAACACATTCATGTTCCGAATTCAATGATTGGTTCTGCCAAACCAGATCAGATAACTCAAAGAACACTTCCAGAAGATGCTATTGGCAAATTCATCTTCTAAACTTAATGATTGGTTCTGCCAAATCAGATCAGATAACTCAAAGAACACTTCCAGAAGATGCTATTGAGCAAATTCATCTTTCAAATTCAATGATTGGTTCTGCCAAATCAGATCAGATAACTCAAAGAACACTTCCAGAAGATGCTATTGAGCAAATTCATCTTTCAAATTCAATGATTGGTTCTGCCAAATCAGATCAGATAACTCAAAGAACACTTCCAGAAGATGCTATTGAGCAAATTCATCTTTCAAATTCAATGATTGGTTCTGCCAAATCAGATCAGATAACTCAAAGAACACTTCCAGAAGATGCTATTGATCAAATTCATCTTCCAAATTCAATGATTGGTTCTGCCAAATCAGATCAGATAACTCAAAGAACACTTCCAGAAGATGCTATTGATCAAATTCATCTTCCAAATTCAATGATTGGACTAAGATATCACA